TAGAAGTGCCGTTGCATGTAAGTATTAAAATGAACTCTTTCTGCAAAGTCTACATGTACCAGACCCCACTTTGCTCACCGTCATCCAAATGGACCCTCAAATCAGTGAGAAAGTAAAAACTGGGGAATTCTTGTATACCCTCCCTCACACGGCTTACTTATGGGCTTTTGAGGGTTGAATCAGGTAAAAGATAGGACGATCCTCCCTCTTGAGGGGCCTACCCTCAGGGCACCTGTAATGTCCGGGCCAAGACCGTATAAACGAGATATTTACATGTAAGGCGGGTGTGAGGGGGTAAACAACCCTAATATCAGGACTGGAGGTAGATGGGCACCTACGTACCGACCCAGTTAGAGACCTGTGACTGACCAGGGTAATGATAGTTTTGTAACGAACCTAAACCTAACCTACCTACCCCGTTATCTTACGTGACGGCAGCATGTAGGATAAGGTCTACAATGCTTGCCCTCGAAGAATGATACTGTCACCGTTGAGGTTGTTCGGTTGAACAAGTCATGACCATGGAAAGCAGCCTCCATCATTTCTGCGGCCTCAACGTTAATATAACTTTGGACCTCGTGATTGCTGGTTGAAGATACAAATTTGACAGAGCAACCGTCTCTTTTTTTGACAAACTTCTTTTGATTGTTTGGGGGAGGTGCAAACATTTGCATGGAGTCCTGGTTTCACTCCGAGCCGAGTGTCATCCGCCTCCAGGAGAACAGCTTGCCGACAGCCGAAGCTACGCCGCAATGTCCATCATCATTCAAAACCTACCCTTTTGCTCCTTCATGACTGAGCCGCACCGCCGCACACATAGCGTGGGTCTCGCGGCCCCCGAAACCGAGGTGGAGAAACATTTTTACGAGGTCGGATCGGCAGGTCGCAAGGGATGTCGGACGGGGTTCGTTGGCCCAAAGTCGTGTCCCTTGCGTGGCATGCGTGGCTGAGCGCAAACTAACCACTCTGTAACCTCGTGTCCAACAGTTTCGGGTCAAATTTGCAGGTCAAAAAGGCCTCGAGCCCAGGGGCCATGTAAGAAGGTGTCCACTGGCGCTCAGTCATGCCCGCAGCACATCCCCTAAAAACCCTAGCGAGTCGCCCAAAATGGGGCATGATCGGTCATGTCTCCTGCTGGCGAAGTCGGTCGACGAGACGGGAGTTACATATAAGTTGATATCAGGTCGAGCTCTTCGCCGCTTTGTAGGGATTACTCATCGCTCTTGTCGCCATTCGCTCGTTTGTCGCCATGAAGTTCACCACATGCGCCCAGGTGCTGTCCGCGGCGGCCATCGCATCAGCCGCCGCGGTGTCCATACCCGGGAAGCGAGAGGTCCGTTACGGTTATTCCCACTCACACAAGATCAAGGGGATATCGTGGGCCGAAGCGGTGAAAATCATGGGAGGGGACCCAGGGGGTGAGTCGGGCGGCAGTGACTTTTACGAAAAAGCCTCCAACAAAACCGCCTCACCGGGCAACACCACCGCGATCCAACCCATCGCGACCCAATCCGTCACGACCCAATCCGCCGCGACCCAAACGACGCCCTCTGACTCCTGCACTGACAATGTCCGGATCGAGTGGAACAATATGTCGGACGGCCACAAACTCTCGTATGTCCAAGCAGTCAAATGTTTAATGGACGCGCCTGCTACTTGGGGTATGGGATGAAGCAAGGAACATCTGGGACGAAATGACATGGATCCACGACCAGCTGAACGAGCGCATCCATGGCCTTGAACACTTTCCTGCTCTGGCATCGGTACTACCTCCACTTGCTCAAGACGCTTCTGGCGGAA